CTTTTTAGGTCCACAAACTAATTTATTCCCAGATTGAAAGTTTCAAGGTCTGTTGAATCTTAAAATAATGAGTAAAGCAATGCATAGCAGTACTGGAAAAGAAAGCTTACCATTCTGTCATTTAAATCAGTGGATTTTGTAACAGCCACCCTCTCCCTGGGATAATAAAACCTAACATGTGTTTATGCTGTTTCCTTTGTATTGTACCATAGAAGTTAAAGAATCTTCCTAGGGAGGAGGAGAGAAATCATTCCTTATTTCCTTTGTCATTCTTGCCTGCAGTTAGGCAGAGCACCAAACATGGTAATGCATTCAGCCAACCACTTCCAAACCATTAAGTAGGCCACAGAAGGAGGAACGAGTTGAAAAGACAGGAATTAACAGTAACACATTGAAAATAAGATACCCAAGGACCCATGAGTCACTCTTTGATGAGAAATGAAGAAGTGACAGTTTTAATTGTCAGCAACATGTTACCAGAGACAGAGGTAGAAACACCTGGTCCAGATGAGCATTTCCTACCCTTCTTGGTCCCATGTACTCTGCCACCCAGTACCCATGAGACCGCAAGTCCCTGCAACCCCTCTGATGTGCTGTGCTTTCTGATGGGCCCCCGGCAGTCCAGCCGTCATCAGGCTGGGATCTGTCCGCAACATGTGACCATCATTCCTAGTCCTTTACTGCTGAAGCCAAAGCAATTCTAAGGAAATCAGAATTTCTGCAGTACCCTCTCTCATGAACTCCTTTTCTGCCTGTTCCCCATGTGTGGTTCATCTGGCTGGCTGTAGTTTCAAACCCACCAGCGCCTGTTGCTGTTCGTTAAGGGATGAGAAAGTGAAAAGGTCATTGAGAGACTTTAAAAAAAAGATAATAATACTGTTTATGTTTACAGTAGTTTTACATTTACAGAAAATTGAGCCAATTTGAGTTCCCACATACCCACTTCTCCCACTAGCAGTTTCCCCTATTATCTTGCATTAGTGTGGTACATGGGTTACAATAGTGAGCCAGTGTTACACATGATTAGGGAAGGTCCGTCACCTGCATTAGGGTTCACTCCTCGTGTTGATTTTCTGTGGTTTTGACAGAGGCCTCCTCGCGTCGCTTAGTCACCAGCACAGCGTCACTCAGAATAGCTCCGCTACTGACAGGGGCCTGTGCACCCCGGCTGCGCCTCTGCGCATGCGCACGGCCCGCTCGCCTCCGCTCCTGTCGGCTCCGTTTCATCCCTGGGTTCCCGGACGGGGCCTCCGCTAAGCGCTCCCCTTACTCACACGCTGCCGTCCCCTAGACCTGACCGGATCTCTGATCTGGTACCTTTCTTCCTTCCCTGTGCCTTGCCTTCCGTGCCCTGGTCACAATTTCCATGTAGCTGTGTGAAGAGCTCGCCTGTGACACTGGTTTGAGGCTGGAGAATGGAGCTGTTTAAGACCCCACCTCTCAGTCCCATTGCTGCCATGTGGGCGCCTTACCCGTTTTACCTATAACTCCGGCCAGGAGCAGCTTTCAGATCCCCTTTATAAAACTCTGCAACTCTAGGCTCTGTTTCCTAATTCCCGTATGACAGAAAGGGTGAGGAAATGAGACCCATTGCACTTTCTTCTGCTCTTTTCCTTACCTGTGCCTTCTGAAAATTATAGCATTGCTTTTACACTGACATAGGTAGAGAACTTCTATAATAATAATATGGTTTATATGCCTGTGCTCTAAATTACATGAAAACACCAAAGATCATTATTCAAGAACGAGATTCGTTTTTATTTCACTTTTGAGTTTCTCCCATGGCTATCTCCCAATCATTCCTCTTTCCTGAATTACTGTTTAGAATTATTGAAATATTTTCTCTGGTTTTTCCTTCAGAAAAGTCTTCTCCAGGGGATCTTCTTTCCCTTCTCCAGGGGATCTTTCCAGCTCAGGGATTGAACCCAGGTCTCCCACATTGCAGGTGGATTCTTTACCAGCTGAGCCACCAGGGAAGCCCCAGAAAAGTTAAAAATTTCTAAATCTTGTATTGCTTCATATGTAAAATATGCATTTGTTATTTGTATGAGATTTCAATGTTGGATTAGTCATACTTGTTAGTTCATAGCATGTCATCATCTCTGATCCAGACAGTAGTCCTCATTGGCTGCTTGATCCATTCCTTCCCTTTTGTTCCTGTATCATTTCCCTTTGTGCTTAGTTGGTAAGTCCTATCCAGCTATTTGTGACCCCATGGGCTGTAGCTCACCCAGCTTCTCTGTCCATGGGATTACCCAGGCAAGCATACTGGACTGGATTGCCATTTCTTTCTCCAGGGGATCTTCCCAACCCAGGGATCAAACTCACATCTCCTGCATTGGCAGGAGGATTCTTTACCACTGAGTCATCTGGGAAGATAGCAATCCCTATTAGGGAGAGGAAATTGTTAGTGTGTGTATATATGCATATATATTTTAAATTTTAATATATATTTTTAATTTTGTTAGTAGAAGAAGTATCTTTTTAAAATTTATGTATTTTAATTGGAGGCTAATTACTTCGCAATATTGTAGTGGTTTTTGCCATACATTGACATGAATCAGCCGTGGGCACGTACATGTGTTCCCCATCCTGAACCCCCCTCCCACCCCCCTCCCCATCCCATCTCTCAGGGTCATCCCAGTGCAGCAGCCTTAAACACCCTGTCTCATGCATCGAACTTGGACTGGCGATCTATTTCACATATGATAATATACGTGTTTCAGTGCTATTTTCTCAAATCATCCCACCCTTGCCTTTTCCCATAGAGTCTAAAAGTCTTTTCTTTACATCTGTGTCTCTCTTGTTGTCTCGCATATAGGGTCATCATTACCATCTTTCTAAATTCCATATATATGCATTAATATACTGTATTGGTGTCTTTCTTTCTGACTTACTTCACTCTGTATAATAGGCTTCAGTTTCATCCACCTCATTAGAACTGATTCAAATGCATTCTTTTTAATAGCTGAGTAATATTAGGGATTAGGGGCAGGAGGAGAAGGGGACAACAAAGGATGAGATGGCTGGATGGCATCACCAACTCGATGGACATGAGCTTGAGTAAACTCCAGGAGTTGGTGATGGACAGGGAGACCTGGCGTGCTGCGATTCATGGGGTCGCAAAGAGTCAGACATGACTGAGCGACTGAACTGAACTGAGCTGAACTGACTGAATATTCTATTATTTATATGTACCACAGCTTTCTTATCCATTCATCTGCCGATGGACATCTAGGTTGCTTCCATGTCCTAGCTATTGTAAACAGTGCTGCAATGAACATTGGGGTGCACATGTCTTTTTCAATTCTGGTTTCCTTGGTGTGTATGCCCAGCAGTGGGATTGCAGGGTCGTATGGCAGTTCTTGCATTTATTTTCATTTTATAGATGGGTTCTTTAATTGATCATGATTCTGTTTCCTACTGTGCATTATGTTTTTCCAGTACATTGTGTTTTCAGTCCACCCACATTTCTCTGCGTGGATGTAATCTATTGCTTGTTGTATATCTATGTATATTGCCTATCTTTCTTCCCTTGATGGACACCACGTTCAAATGTAGTTTAAATTTTCTTTAAAAATCATCTTTGTGTTTGAATGTATATTCAAGCCCTTAGAATTGAATTTATGCCCTCTCCTTGAATGCTCAAATAGAAATATATGTATATGAACTGTATCAGTAGTAAATGTCTGAATGAACTTGTGTTATATACAAGAACTCATGTAACCTAGAGAGCTGTTTTCCCTAATAAAAGCAATCTTTTAACAGAAGACAAATCCTATTTGTATCTTGAGGCCCGTGTACAATAGAATAAGTTCTCAGAGATTAAAGTACAAGAGCTTTAGTCACAGGTAAAATGATTGTACAAGGATACCTAAATACCTTAGTCTGGTAATATGTCATACATTAAATATACTTTAAAACATTATTAAAATGAAGAATATATTTTGGTGCTTATTCCTTTAGAGTTGTTTGAATTATAAAAAAAAATACCTTTTTTACTCTATTGTTGAATGTATGGGTATGTTGACATTGTCCCAAAAGAACTTGAAGTATCTTTTTAAAAAGACTGTGTAATCCTAAGGACAGAATAGCAAATAGGGTGGGAATAGAAAAGCATTACTTTGTAGAAGAAGAGTTTCCAAGTATTTTATTTAAAAGCAAGCCTTGTGGCCTTGATTGAGCATTACATTTAACTTTCTTGTAAACTGAAAAATAGAAAACATTTTAAATTATGTCCGATTTCGTAATCAGAATAGAAGGTGAGCATACTCACTTCCCAGGGTCGGCATTCTGTTTCCTGGTAGACAGACTTTGTCAGTGAGCATCTCCTAGAGCTGTGGGTATAGGAAACAGACTAATCACTAGTAGGGTTGACATTGAATTCTAAAGGTCAGAAGCCCAGTTCCCGGGTAAAAAGCAGAGATTTTACTTAGGAAGCAATGTTGTATTTACCCTCAAGCAAGCATTTCATTAAGACCCTTGAATTCTGTATCCTTTAGTGCTCTTTAGCACATGGAATCAGTTTAGTCTTTGGAAGTGGAAGGTATAGGTAGTAATCCTGCTGCTGCTGCTTGTTATCTGTACATCCTGGACAGTTTAATCTCTGCAAACTTCAATTTTCTGATATGTTAAAGTAATAATTAACAGTAAGATACCTTGTAAAACTGTTGCTAGTATTAAGTCAGGTGAAAGTTCTATAGGATGATTCAGTACATGTTGTTCAGTCACTAAGTCATGTCTGATTCTTTGCAGCCACATGGACTGTAACACGCCAGGCTTCCCTGTCCTTCACTATCTTCTGGAGTTTGCTCAAATTCATGGCCATTGGGTCTGATAGGTGATGCTGTCTAACCTAAGTTTGTTGTTAGAATTAAGTATGATAAATTACATGAGCCATCACTAGGATGGTTCCTGGTGCATATGACCAGATCTTCAGTGCACAGTAACGTGCTGTCTTTTCTTCTCCCATCTTAATGATCATTCCTTCTCTGCCTCAGGGAAAGCACAAACTGCATGTAGATACTGGGATGGAAGGTGATTGGTGTGGCCTCATTCCTATTGGACAGCCTTGCAATCAGGTGACGACAACAGGCCTAAAGTGGAACCTCAGTAAGTAAAACCCTTGCACAAAGGGAGGTTTTCTTTCTTTCTTATTTTTTTACAAAATTTATCTTGATAAATAATTAGAAGTGGAATTGCTTGGTCATATGGGAACTTTAGCCTTTCAATGAAATAGCCAGACTATTGTCCAAAGCGGCCATACCAGTTTTACATTCCTACCCATGATGTATGAGAATTCTAGTTTCTCCATATCCTGGTGAGTATGAAGTGATGTCTCATTGTGGTTTTTACTTTGTTTTACCTGATGACTAATGATGCTGAACACATTTTCATGAACTTATGGGCCATTGGTGTATATTCTTTGGAGTTACGTCTTTTTAAATCTTTGCATGTATTTTAACTGGATTATCTCTCTTTTTACATTGACTTGTAAGATTCCTTTATGTACTCTAGATATAAGTCCTATAGCAGATAATATGATTTGAAAATATTTTCTCAGACTCTGACTTGTGTTTTTATTTTCTGAAATTTAATTAACTAAATTCATTAATCTAATTTTGAAGTCCAGTTTATGTTTTTGTTTTTTTTTATGGATCATACATTTGGTGTCATAGCTAAGCACTCTGTCCAGCCTTTTTCATGGTTTTGTGTGCTTGAAATCTATCTTACTTTTCCAGAGAAGTAGCTCTTCTAACTAGAGTTATTTAAACATCTGTGATTTTATAAGATTTGCTGTTCTGACTAAATTTTCAAATGTTCTCCAGCACTTAAGAATGTACTAAGTACTGGTCACTCTAAAACTGTCTGGTTTGAAAAGAACAAACAATGAGGTGGATCTATTCATAAAATAAATGCTGATTCCAAACGAAACCATCAGGCATTGTGAAATAATCACCCCTAGTCCCCAAGAATAACAGTTAATGATTTAATCAAAGAGCTTTGAGTGAATGTCAAAGGGATTATCTCATGATTGACCGTTACCTGCAAGGTTGTAAAAAGTAAAATATGGAACCATGACATTCTTTTATAACATGTAAAACTTTTTGGTTCTCACAAAGACATAAATACCTCAAGAGACAAATACACTGAAGATTAAAGGATATTTTAAAAGGCCTTTCTAGGAGCCACTGCTGACACAATCAGGAAAAACTAGAGATATTTTTGAAGCAAATGTCTGGCCAGCTCATCAGAATTTGAAAGGATGCTGAGAACAGATCTCCTCCAGTGCACAGGAACCTGTGACAGGCTTTGAAGCTGGTTAGCTGAAACTGCCACGAGCTCCCATCAGAAGCTTTTTTGAAAACATTTCCAGCCTAAGACAATTGGTTTACTGTCTGGAGTTCCCATGATTTCCAAGGACCCGTTCTCGCCAGTGGTGAACTTCCTCCTGGATCTGGTAGTGACCTCATCTTGCCAGGGCTGATACCAAGACATGCCGAGCGCTCTGCACAGTGAACAGGCACCTAGTGCTGTGGTTGTTCAGTCGCTGAGTCACTAAGTATCTGACTCTTTGTGACCCCACGGACTGCAGCATGCCAGGCTCCCCTGTCCTTCACTATATTGCTTCCTTTATCTTAGGGGTTGAACAGGTGAGAATCATAGGATACATGAGAATTGTTGGTGTTCTTTAGAATGTTCTCAGAGCTGCTGTGGAGAAGGCAATGGCAACCCACTCCAGTATTCTTGCCTGGAGAATCCTGTGGACAGAGGAGCCTGGTGGGCTGCTGTCCATGGGGTCGCACAGGGTCGGACATGACTGAAGCGACTTAGCGTGCGTGCATGCATGCATTGGAGAAGGAAATGGCAACCCACTCCAGTGTTCTTGGCTGGAGAATCCCAGGGACAGAGGAGCCTGGTGGGCTGCCGTCTATGGGGCCGCACAGAGCGGACACGACTGAAGCAGCTTAGCAGCAGCAGAGCCGCTGTATTCTACAACAATATACTCATCCCAATTCTTTTTTTTTTAAACGGTTTTAACTTAAAATTTTCTTATGCAACTTTTAAACATACACTCCACTTACAGTTATTACAGAATATTAGCTGTACGCCGCGTGTTGTGCTATACATGCTCATAGCCTGTCTTGTACCCGGGGGTTATAGCTCCTCCTCCCGCACCCCTGTGTTGCCCACCCTCCACTGGTGACCGCTAGTTTGTCCTCTGTGTCTGTGGCTCTGCTTCTTTTTTGCTGTATTGAATAGTTCATTGTACTTTTTAAATTCCACATATAAGTGATAGCATACAATATCTGAATAATAAAGTTGACTCCAGGAAGGGGCCTTGGGCATGAGGGGCTTTTAGTCTTCTTGTCTGTGATAAAGTTTCAGCCCTGCCGAAGTGCTCTACACTGTTACTTATCTATGTATTTACAGACTGCTTTGACTTTTGAAATAGGTACTTGATTCTCTACAACTTTGGGGAAGCAAGTAATAGCAACCTCACAAGGTGTGAAAAGCAATAGCATTGAGACAGAGTGTTTTATCAATGATCTGTGGTACTAGTGCTGATGAATAGGGTCTTCTGATAGGTGGTACTGCCTCATTAAAAAGTAGTGAAGATAACTGAGATGACACCCTGTTGCCTTGGAGACAAGTGGACGGATTATTTTCACAGTGTGGGGGTGTGTCTGTACTCAGAAGAAGTCGCTCAGTCATGTCTGACTCTCTGTGACCCCATGGACTGTAGCCTTCCAGGCTCCTCCTTCCATGGGATTTTGGAGTGGGTTGCCAGTTCCTTCTCTAGGGGATCTTCCCAACCCAGGGACCGAACCTGGGTCTCGCGTGCCGCAGGCAGACTGTTCACCGTCTGAGCCCCCCCGGGGCTGTGCCCAGTGTCCTTGGGAAAGCAGAGCTCTCAGGTCCGTGTCACACCTGCAGCGCAGCAGGATGGGGCTGCAGGAGGAGAAGGGAGATGCCGAAACCTGGTCGGGGGTGCTCACGTCTCGGGTCAAGGAGAGTGAGCAGGCCCTCCTGAGGGAATGCATCAGAATCGTCTTAAGATGGTCTCGAGGCTGGCATTCTCTCTGTCTATACCCACTATAAAATATGATGCCACAAGTTCTAAAAGGAGTCTGATTCATATGGTTCAATTTGTGATGTGTCACATCACAGACTGTCTTTAAAACCAGTGCCTATCATGGCACCATCACCCACATGTGTATGTTTACAAATGTTGTTGAAACATATATTACAGTATCTTCAGTCAGTTCAGTTCAGTCACTCAGTTGTGTCCGACCCCATGGACTGCAGACCCCACCAGACTTCCCCGCCCGTCACCAACTCCCGGAGCTTACTCAAACTCATGTCCATTGAGTCTGTGATGCCCTCCAACCATCTCATCCTCTGTTGTCCCCTTCTCCTCCCACCTTCAAACATTCCCAGCATCAGTATCTTAGTTCATAGCAATATGCTGTGGATATTCTGTGATGTGTGTCTGGGATTTCCCATGTGGCGCTAATGGTAAAGAACCCACCTGCCAATGCAGGAGACATAAGAGACATGGGTTCGATCCCTGGGTCTGGAAGATCCCCTGGAGGAGGAAATGGCAACCCCCTCCAGTTATTCTTGCCTGGAAAATCCCATGGGCAGAAGAATCTGGAGGACCACAGTCCATAGGGTCACAAAGAGTCGGCCACAAGTGACTGAAGCGACTTAGCATGCTCACACATATTTGGGACTAGAGTTTCTCTAGGCTGTGTACACATGGGAATAAAATAGTAGCTGCATCATGGGCAAATGTACCCTCGCTTATACTGGACATGTCGTGTGGCTCAGATAGCAGAAATACCAGTGTACACCCATCCCAGGAGTATCCAAGAGTCCCTGTGCTCCATGTCCTTGCCCCATTCTTGATGATGTCAGATTTAATCATTTTTGCCAGTCTGATGAGTGTCAGTGATACTTCACTGTCTTCTCTGAAGACTGGTGGGGGAAAATATCTTTGTACCTATAATCCATGTAGGTTTCCTCTTTCATTCATTGCTACTTTCTTTTGCCCTTTAGCCATTGGACTATTTTTTTTCTTTCTTATTAATTTTTAGAAGCTCTTCAGACCATGATGGTCTTCAGGCTACACTTCGCCTTTTCTATTTGTTTATGGTATTTTTGTACACAGAGAGATTATTCAGTTAAAGGTAGTTAAGTTTATCAGTCTTTTTCTTTCAGATTTGTAATTTTTGTGTCATAATTCATCTTTCTGTTCCCTGTGCTCATAAAGATGTTCTTACATTTTAGGTTTAAGGGATTTTTTTTTTTTCTTGAGGTCTCTTCTTTCACCTGAAATTGATTTTTGTGTATAATATGAGTTGGGGATCTGATTTTTTTCCTTACTGATAACCAGTTGCTCTAGCATCATTTATCATCCTTTTTCCAGTGATTTACATAAGTTTTCAAATTCATAGGTATGTTTCTTGGATCTCTAGTCTGTTCCCTTGGCTCACATTCTTTTTCCTGTATTGATACCACACTGCCTTAGTTACCATAGCTTTATAATAAATACAGAAATGTGCTAGGTTGAGCCTACCAACCTTGTTCTTCAAAATTTTCATGGATATTCCTGACTTTTTGGGCTTCCCCAGTGGCTCACGGTAAAGAATCTGTGTTCAGTGCAGGAGCTTCAGGAGACTCAGGTTCAATCCCTGGGTCAGGAAGATCCCCTGGAGAAGGGCATGGCAGCCCACTCCAGTATTCTTGCCAGGAGAATCCCAGGGACAGAGGAGCCTGGCAGGCAACAGTCCATGGGGTTGCAAAGAGTCAGACACAGCTGAAGCCCACTGGCACACACACCTGGCTTTTTTCTCTTCTTCATAAACTTGTAGCTTGATAAGTGTTGCACACACACAATTCCATTGTGATTTTTATCAGAACCAGCCTTAATTTAGAGATTACACTGGGAGACTAGAACAGTTGGGAGTAAGAATTCCCATACAAAACTGAGCCTTCCCATCCATAAACGTAATTTCTGTCTCCATTTAATTAGAATCTGAATTGCTCTTGATAATTAGCAATTTTGTCCATACGATCCTGTACTTGATGAGTCATAGAAGGACTCA